CTGGGAATCAGCCATAGCTGCTTGCTCCGCCCTGTTGATTCTGAGACCCCGCCCCATCCAGGCTGCTGCAAAGCCTTTTGCATATGAATGCCCGGGTCCTTTACAACCTGACAACTACCTAACAAATTGCAGCTGGGCCAGACAGACCCAGAACTTCCAAGAGAAGGCCCAAGGCCCCACAGCAGCTTGCATTGCTTCTCAGCTGGGCCTCATCTGGGCACCCCCAAACCCCCAAAAAAGGAAGGGGAATCTGCATATCTCTTCATAGCTCCTGCTGGGTAACCTCAGGAAGAGGCTTAATTAGCACCTCCTTAGATCCAAGAGCCAGTGTACCCAGTGGTCAGAGTGGGACCACCCAGATTACAACTCCTCAGATTCATAAGGAACACACTCAGGGGGCAGACTCAGTGAGCACCAAAGCCCCACTGAAGCAAGTCTTGCCCCAGAAGGGTGTCTTCAGCACAGAAGTTCTCCCACTGCAGACACAGCTGATTCTCACTGCCAATTGGCCTGGAGGTCAATTCCTCCCAGTGACACCTAAAACAATCAAGGCATAACTACAACAAGACTGTGCACAAAGCCCACAAGGGGGTGCACCAAGAGTGTCCACCTCAGGTAACTGGGGAGGCTGAGCCACTGGGCCCTGTAGGACACCTAGCACACAAAACCACTCTACCAACACAGGGAAGCAGACAAAATGCGAAGACAAAGAAACAGGTCACAAATGACAGAAATGGAGGACAGCAAACGACTGGATATAGAGTTCAAAACCACGGTTCTAAGATTTTTCAAGAATTTTATGGAAACCGCCGATAAATGTATTGAGATCCTTAAGAAATCTAGTGAGACCCTCGATGTTGTGATAAAGGACCAACTAGAAATTAAGCATACACTGACTGAAATAAAGAATATTATACAGACTCCCAACAGCAGACCAGAGGATCGCAAGAATCAAGTCAAAGATTTGAAATACGAAGAAGCAAAAAACACCCAACCGGAAAAGCAAAATGAAAAAAGAATCCAAAAATACGAAGATAGTGTAAGGAGCCTCTGGGACAACTTCAAGCGTACCAACATCAGAATTATAGGGGTACCAGAAGAAGAGAGAGGGCAAGATATTGAAAACCTATTTGAAGAAATAATGACAGAAAACTTCCCCTACCTGGTGAAAGAAATAGACTTCCAAGTCCAGGAAGTGCAGAGAACCCCAAACAAAAGGAATCCAAAGAGGACCACACCAAGACACATCATAATTAAAATGCCAAGAGCAAAAGACAAAGAGAGAATCTTAAAAGCAGCAAGAGAAAAAAAGTCAGTTACCTATAAGGGAGTACCCATACGACTGTCAGCTGATTTCTCAACAGAAACTTTGCAGGCCAGAAGGGAGTGGCAAGAAATATTCAAAGTGATGAATAGCAAGAACCTACAACCAAGATTACTTTATCCAGCAAAGCTATCATTCAGAATTGAAGGTCAGATAAAGAGCTTCACAGATAAGAAAAAGCTAAAGGAGTTCATCACCACCAAACCAGTATTATATGAAATGCTGAAAGGTATCCTTTAAGAAGAGGAAGAAGAAGAAAAAGGTAAAGATACAAATTATGAACAACGAATACACATCTATCAACAAGTGAATCTAAAAATCAAGTGAATAAATAATCTAATGAACAGTATGAACTGGTGATTATAATAGAATCAGGGACATAGAAAGGGAATGGACTGACTATTCTTGGGGGGGAAAGGGGTGTGGGGGTGTGGGAAGAGATTGGACAATAATCGTGCACCTATGGATGAGGACAGTGGGTGGGGAGTGAGGGCGGAGGGTGGGGTGGGAACTGGGTGGAGGGGAGTTATGGGGGGAAAAAAGAGGAACCAATGTAATAATCTGAACAATAAAGATTTAATTTAAAAAAAAAGAGTCAAGTATCTGGCTGGCCAGCTCAGTGGTTAAGTGTTGACTTATGAACCAGGAGGTCAAGGTACAATTCCTGGTCAGGGCACATGCCCGGTTGCGGGTTCAATACCTGAGGCATGTAGGAGGCAGCTAATCAATGATTATCTCTCATCATTGGTGTTTCTAACTCTTCCTCTCCCTTCCTCTCTGAAATCATTAAAAATATGTTTAAACATTTTTTAAAAAGAGTGGAGTATCTGAAGAGTCAAAATATGTGACTGTCTTTTCATTGGGTTAACCATTTACATTTAATAAGAATACTGCTATGGTTAGGTTTAAATCTACATTTTGTTATCTGTTTTCCATTTGTTCCTAGTATTCTTTTTCCTCTTTTCTATTCTTTGGATTCTATTTTGGATTGGACATACTTCATAGTTCCATTTATTCCCTTTTTTTGCTTATTAGTTCTAACTGTTGTATCAACTTAGAGATTGTTTTAGGCTTTATAATATACAACTTTAACTTATCATGTCTATCTTCAAGTGATAACAATTGACACACATACAGTGTGAGAATCTTTCAACAATATCCTTTCATTTCTCTGCCCCTAATCTCCATATTCCAACAATAAATTGATCACGTCATTATGTTGATTCCTTCCAGTAATAAGTCTCTCAGTCTCTCCTTTCCATACTCATCACATTTTTAATTCAGGCATTCGATCCCTCTTGTCCAGTTTACTTACTTACTTACTTACTTAGTGATTACAGACTTCTCTCTCCCATCTATCCTGTATAATGCTGCTAGAAACTCCTAAACATTCAATGGTTTCCCACTATACAGAGAACAAAGTTCACAATCTGTAGTGTAGCATTCAATATCCACCATATTCAACCCCAAATGACTTTTCCAGCCTCATCTCTTCTCCTTGCACCATTCATTCCATGCTTCAGGCATATGGGATAATATGAAAAGAGTGTGGCACATGTGGCACATTTTATAGTTTTCAGTTTCTTGGAAAAACTTTCAAGCTTGGCTTTCATACTGGATTTTTGTTTTTACACAAATCATACTGGCTTTTACACTCAGAGTTTATATGCTAAAGAATTTTCTAAAATTTGGGCATAACAATTCATTTTCAAAGACAATTATATGAATTCTGTCATCAAAAGGATATGGAAACTGAAGAAATCCTATTCATCAGCTGGTTGGAAGAGATCTTTGGGCAGGGACACACAGCAGCAGCTGGAGTCAGTATCAGCTCTCCCAACAAGTCCACGCCAGCCACGTCATTGGGGATGAAAAGCATTACTGGATGTCCTAGTACAGGATGGATTCTGCTGCAGAGTAATTGAGTTGTACCAAATTTTGGTCTACTGTCAAAAAACAAGGAAGACAAATTTAGCTTTTTTCCTCAAGAAATTATTTTTAAAGGTATTCAAAATTCCTTTTATAATCTCTAGCATATGCATAACCATATAACCCGCCATATCAATAACTTGCGTCCCACTCAGGGAAGCACAAGCAATAGACAGAGCAGACAAATCGGCATTTCAGGAATGGTATCATGGCTCCTGCTTTCGCTGCCACTAGTGGCAGTTTCATATTCTCAAAAAATGAATTTCATCCACTAATTACTCTATGGTTCTAAGCAGAAGTTTCCAAGATCATTCAGAGATCAGCATGGCAGAAGTGGGAGTGAGGGGGTTCCTTAATCACAAATAACCTAAAACTGGTATCCCTATTCTCAGATGACTGCTCCCACACATGCTTCCCCTGACGAGGTCTGAAGTTACTGTTAGATAGCAATAATAAGAAAAAATTAGGACACCTTTCTCTCCTAGAAAGAATCTAGTGAAATTTAATATTTGGTTACTTTCCAACAGTTCTTTTCTAAACACAAAAGAGTACTGAACCTTTTTCTCTCTCTAAACTAATCAAGTTGCCCAGAGAAATGTGTCTACAAGCATCGTCTCTTTCAATAAAGCTACGATAACAAGATGTCTACCTGTAATGAATGTATGATACTTTAAGATTACTAAAGAAAGATATGGAGTGAGGGTGTTGTTTTCTGCACATATTAAAGAATAAAAAAATATTCTAATGGAGGTGTTCTGTCTATTCCATATTATATACCACCTCCTCCATGATTTGCAGTCTGAAGAACGTGGAGATAGGGAGAGAGATTTCCAAACCTAGGCAAAATGCTGATGCACAAACAATAATACACAAAGAATTTCTTTGTAGTCATTGTATCTATCTAGCCAAGAGTTCAAGAACCTTTTAAATTCAGCCCTCTCTTCTCATGTGTAAATGGGGTTGGAATTAGCAGGGTATGTTTTGTTTCATTTACAGGAGAAAATAAGGCATGGAGAGGAGAAAGAACATGTCCTCTGGTCAATCAGAATATATTCAAGGAGCCAGGAATAACAGTTTTCAATATAATTAGCTTAAAAGTTTTACTTTATTTTTCTTATAGAGACTCTGACATCTGGCACTAAGAAATGACAAGTGAGACCATTTTTAATTTCTGCCACATTTATATTCATAATAGGAGAGTAAAACAGGGAGAGGAACAATGCTTTCCCCCTTCACCTCATATAATGCTGATAGTTTACGACAAGAGCAATTCCATTCGACAGGTTCAAAGTAGGTTCATTCTCTGCCCTGCAAAGCAATAAAAAGCTAAGCCATATCTCAAAAATTCTAATACCAATTTCTGCCTGGTACAAATTTTGGTAATATGACTACTACCACCCCCAGAGATTACTGGAATTCAGTAACCAATTAACCAAGGGAAAATGGCAATTTTTAAATTCATTCACTCTAGTAAAAGGGAAAGACATAAAAGGTTTAGATGAATGTATTTACTTATTTTAAAAACTAATATAGAATAATAAAATATGGGGGTCTCAGAATATTAGTTTCAAAGTGAACTTGGCTCAATAAATCAAACTGTGAACCTATTGGAAATAGGACAATAATGACTGAGAAAAGCTCTAGAGCTATGGCATAAACTTAAGCCATGGATTTAAGGACTTACTCAAAGATTTCCGTGGAGAGGATACCATTCACCTTTACACTGAAATTAAATCTAATCTGCAAAATAAATGGTGTGTGAGATTTAACATAAACCAGGATAGAGATTTAAAACTTCCATACCTAAAGGAGATATTTTTTATATCACCTTTTTTTTCACTTACACCATCCCTAAACATAATTAACACTTGTCTGTGTTCAAAATCTGTCTCTTAAATATATTGCATCTTAACACTACAATTCCAAGCAGTCACAAATTACCAGGAAATCCTACCGTTTTGTCTTCTGTTCCCCTAATGTATCTTTTCTTCCCTTTCTTAAAGGAACTATCAATTTTCTCCCTATTCTTTCCATTGTTATCATACAAGAAACATTCCACACTTATTTTCTTTGCTTTTTCTTCCCCTGCCCCATCTGACTTTTTTGTCTGCCCTCCAACTTATTTCACTGTCTATTTCCTACCTTCAACCTACATTTTTCTTTCTATATAACATAATGGGTAATAAGGGACTCCAGAGCCAGACGGTGCTCAAATCCTGGCTCTGCAAGTTATTTAACCTCTGTACCATAGTTTCTTCAGCTATAAAATGGGGATGATGATAAAACCTAATTCGTGAGGAATGTTGCAAGGGTTGAATGAGTACGTGCATGGAGAACACTTAGAATAATGACTGGCAAGAAATAGCACTGAATCCTGCTGACAACAAAAAAAGTAAGAAGCCAACAAGAGGGAAAAAAGGGGAAGTAATATAGCATACTTAATTGTGTGCATCTTTATAAACACATCTAACTGCAGATAATAAAAATTTTGCTCTCCCAAGTTCAAAATACTTTATCAAAATTTCCTTATTTGCTCTTACTATCCTATATAATAAAAGAGAAACATGCAAATTAGCCATCCCTCTGCTACACTCAAGCCACGCCCGCCAGCCACACCCACCAGCCATACTGAGTGACTATGCAAATTAACCCGACAAAGATGGCGGTTAATTTGCATACGCAGGTGTCAGGTGCCCCAGGAGGTGAGGGCAGCCAAGGCCGCAGGCTCCCGGGACCATTGCCGGCATGGGAGGCGAGGCCACTCGCGCCTAGCCAAGCCCACAGGCTGCTGGGACCTTGCTGGCGGAGAGCGGGAGGTTTGGAGGACTTGGCAGAGCAGGAGGCCGCTGGACATAGAGCAGAGCGAGAGAGAGGGCGGCTTGGAGAGCACGGCCCCCTCTGTCACTCCAGCTTCCTCATCACAGCTGTGGACACTGACAGCAGGGAGGAGGAAGTCCCACCCCCACAGAATCAGCCAGAATCAGCCATTGGTCAGACAGCTCTCAGCGGCCTGACAGCCAGGACTCTCATTCACCTGCATCTCAGACCTGACAGTAGAGAGGTGGGGCTATGTCTAAAGAACAACTGTTAATACAACAACATAGCTCTGCAGCCGAAAGATGCTGGCGTTATCCGTTATTGACAGAAAGTGTTTGCAGAGCAGTGTGTGTCTGATCTTGAAAGAAGGCGGTGCCTGTGACAGGATGTATCTGAACACCAGCTACTGGAAAAACGCCGCTCTGATGCCGAAAAACACTGGCATTATTGACAGAAAATGTCTAAAGACCAACATGCCTTTGAAGTTGAAAGAAGGCGGTGGCGATGACAGAATATGTCTAGAGAATAGTCATCAACAAGTACTACCAATACCGATGGGAACTGCCTTCTCAGTGAAAATCGAGTACATGAGGATGCAATCCTCTAACATAGTTGTGGTGGAATGACTGTTCTATGTGAATTTTGCCTATCACTAAATTTCTCTGATGAAAAACCATCTGATGGGAAATTTACTTGATGTTGTAGCAAAGGGAAAGTCTATCCAAATGATATACATTTTCTGCCTTAACTGGTTTGGCTCAGTGGATAGAGCATCAGCCTGTGGACTCAAGGGTCCCAGGTTTGATTCTGGTCGAGGG